GCCCTGACGCACACCAGAGTTCACTATAAAAGTTCTAGACAACCCTGCCTTTGATCTTATGCAGCATTCACTACGTGTGTACAGGCTTTTGCAAATATTAATGAGATGATTGCTGATTCCTTTTTTCCCCATACATTCCCACAACATATTCCTGTCGACTCTATCGAAGGCTTTTTCTTGGTCTATGAATGTCAACAAACATGTCTTATCATGTTCTATTGCCCTCTCTGATAGTTGTCTCAATGTATAAATGGCATCTGTGCAACTTCTGTTTCGTCGAAAGCCCATCTGTGCTTCTGAAAGTTGATACTCTATCAATGGTCTCAGCCTTTTTTCGATGATCTTAGCATACATTTCCCAGTGTGACTGAGAAGTGATATTCCTCTGTAATTAGTACATTCCCTCTTACTTCTTTTATTTTTCCACAGCGGGACAATGACAGCAGTTTGCCAATCTGATGGTGTTTCTTGATTTTCCCATGCCACCTGAAATATTCTCTTTAACCATATTGCTCCCGTTTCTCCTGCTGCCTTGATGGCCTCAGCTGGTAGATCATCAATACCTGTCGCCTTTAGTCTAGGCGCGGTTCGAATGGCATATTTTACCTCATCCAATAATATACCTGGTTCTAGTTCCTCTGCTGTTAGTTCCGAGTTGTTTTTATTTTCTTCCCTGCTTTTATCTGTTTTATTGCAGCTAAGTAATGCTTCAAAGTAATTACTCCACCTTGCTAAGATTTTAGTAGGTTCTATTAAAGGTTGGCCAACTTCATCATTTATAATTTCTGTTGGGTTGTATTCTTCATTCCTGTTTCTCATGCCTTTGATTTTTTTGTAGTAGTTTTTCACTGCTGATCTTTCTTCTTCAGCCAGCTTGCTTCCAAACTTTTCCCATGAATCTCTTTTTGCTTTTCTGATAGTTCTATTTACTTCTCTTCTAATTTTCCTGTATGTTATGTAATCCTCTTCTGTTCTGCTCCTCAACCAAATGCCATAAGCTTTCTTTTTACTGCTCACAATACTTCTTATTTCTTCAGACCACCATGTTGAGAGCTTACGCCCTATGTTACCTTTCCTTTTAGTTCCACATATTTCTTGTGCTATTTTCATAGTGGTGTCTCTGAAATTCAACCATTCTGTATTTACCCCAAGAGTGTTTTGTGGAAGCTGTTCATAATTTTCCTTTAATTTTTGCTGAAACGCCCGCCTGTTTTCTTCACACTCTAGTTCTTTCCATTTTATTATGTCACTTTTATTACATTTCTTTTTGGTTTGATAACTTATCTTGATTTTTCTGTCAAGGATCACCATCCTATGATCTGTATCTAAACTCAAGTTTGGTATAACTCTCGCATCTGTAACTTGATGAAAGTCTCTTTTTCTCGTCAAGATGTAATCAATCTGACTCTTGGTATCTGGATCATTCCATTTATACCATGTAAAAACTTGTGAAGCTCTATGTTGAAAAAAGGTGTTGGTAATAACAAGGTCATGTTGTGTACATATATCCAACAGTCTTTCGCCATTTTCATTTCTAATGCTGTTGTCTCCATAATTGCCTAGGTATCTTGTGAATGTTCTTCTGTCTCGTCCTGTCTTACCGTTAAAATCACCCATCACGATCAGTTTCTCGTTATTATCTATCTTACAAATTTCATCATCCAGGTTCTCAAAGAAATAATCTAAATCCTCTTCACTGTAATTTCCATTGCACGGAGCATATATCTGAAAAAACACCTCCGAACTATTTCCTACTTGTAATTTCAAACTTATATGCATTACTAGTTATAATTAATTGCAGTACGTATGATATGTTTGAATGCGTATATGTGTGACATGCTGGCGTGTGTAGGCATATGTGTGTATGTATGATTCTGTGTATGCATGGGTATATGTATGTATATGCATATGTATGTATGTATGTATGTATGTATGTATGTATGTATGTATGTATGTATGTATGTATGTATGTATGTATGTATGTATGTATGTATGTATGTATGTATGTATGTATGTATGTATGTATGTATGTATGTATGTATGTATGTATGTATGTATGTATGTATGTATGTATGTATGTATGTATGTATGTATGTATGTATGTATGTATGTATGTATGTATGTATGTATGTATGTATGTATGTATGTATGTATGTATGTATGTATGTATGTATGTATGTATGTATGTATGTATGTATGTATGTATGTATGTATGTATGTATGTATGTATGTATGTATGTATGTATGTATGTATGTATGTATGTATGTATGTATGTATGTATGTATGTATGTATGTATGTATGTATGTATGTATGTATGTATGTATGTATGTATGTATGTATGTATGTATGTATGTATGTATGTATGTATGTATGTATGTATGTATGTATGTATGTATGTATGTATGTATGTATGTATGTATGTATGTATGTATGTATGTATGTATGTATGTATGTATGTATGTATGTATGTATGTATGTATGTATGTATGTATGTATGTATGTATGTATGTATGTATGTATGTATGTATGTATGTATGTATGTATGTATGTATGTATGTATGTATGTATGTATGTATGTATGTATGTATGTGTGTATATTTTTATGTGAGTTTGTATGTATGTGAGTATGTATGTATGCATGTATGTATGCATGTATGTATGTATGTATGTATGTATGTATGTATGTATGTATGTATGTATGTATGTATGTATGTATGTATGTATGTATGTATGTATGTATGTATGTATGTATGTATGTATGTATGTATGTATGTATGTATGTATGTA